GGTGCCCATTATACTTAATGGTTGATTAATTATTATTTGTGATTTTATGTCATGTGTTGCTAACATGACATGAAAACATATTATATTAGATGGTGATGTGACATGTTGTTATGACATGATAACATGATTCTGTGGTATTTTCACTTTTCACGTTGATATAAAAATGATAAGTGATATTTTAATTAATGATAATTAATTAAACATTAATTATAAAAGTTTATGTAATCTAAAATAAAAATACAAAAACTTAATTGAATACAGTAAAAAAATTAAAATTCATTTGATTTTTTTAAAAATTGGTCAAGAACATTTTAAAGTATTATGTCTAAGTTTTTCACCTTTTTAGATTCAAAGATGAAATATATTTTAAAAAAACAATTATATTTCTTTCTTTTTTTTTTGTCCCCTTTTTGTAGTTAATGGGGTGAGATGGTTTTGGTAACTGTTTAAGAACAGGCAACAAACGATGGGGATCAATTAAGACTAAACATGTGAGTATAATTAATGGAAAACATGGTGCAATTTCCTTATGTTTAACACCTCATCCAAACAGTCATCAAAGCCATTTTGATGCATTGAAATGCTCGAACTACTCCTATTTAAATCCAACCAATTAAGAGGAAGGAAAAATATCTCTGATCATAAACCTTGTTTTTAAATATGTTCCCATTATTTTATATTTTTATAAAAATAAATTAAATGTTCAGTTAACAGGTGTCAATAAACACTTATAACTCTTAATTAATTTTAAATAATTTATTCATATAACTCATTAATTGATATATAATTTTTTTTAAAGAACAGAATTTGAATTCTCAAATTAAAAAAAAAAATACTTATTATTGAAGAGACAAGTTATCCTGAGTTCAAGCTCAAGGACATGGTCAAGGAAAAAAATGTGAGAATCGATTTCTTTTGTGTGGGCTTTGTTATGGTTGATTGGCCCATGTAAAGTGTGGGCCCTGGCAAGCCTGACCCAAGCTTAGTCTGATTTTGTTTTATTACAATAATCTTTTAGTGTTCGGGTAGAAGATAAAAATAAACAAGAAATCAAATAGGATATGAGAATAATTACATTTAGCAGGACCCTTAGCAGAAACAATTTTTTTTTTCAGATTTTGTTTGATTAATTCTCAGTGTTTCTCAACTATTTTGTTCTTGGATGCATTATTGTCAATAATTTGAAGATAAATTGAACGATTTTCATAAGAGTTTTTAGTACTACATTAATGTGCAGGATTCAAGTTCCTGTAATTTAAAAATTTAGATGTTTATATTTTTATATGATGTATACAATATTAATATGGTCAAATATAACTTTCACGCTTTCGTTAATCGGTTTATGTCGATTCAAAACTTTTCATATTAATCTAATCTTTTACTATTGTATTATCTTGCAAGATTCATATCTTTGTAATTTGGATATTTAGGTGTTTATGTTCTTACACCGTGTGCGATATTACTATAATCAAGTGTGACCTTCATGCTTTAGTTAATCGATTTGTATCTATTAAAGACTTCTTCTATCAATCTAATCAACTCCTATCCCAAAAAAAAGAAATTGTAAAACAAAAGAAATGAGAAAACAAACAACCTTCAAAGCTGCAACTTCCAAGAAATTTTCAAGCCTCTAATCTCAATTATATAGTTATCAAGATAGAACACAAAGGCATGTTTGACTCTGTTAATTATAGTTATAATACCAACTTGTTTCGATCAGGTTGGTCATTGCCTTTACTACAAGCGAGCAACTAGGCTAACTTGTCTATGTTTACCATATTTCTTAATCTAAATATAACACATATTTTAACCAGGCCTGTGCTAACAAATACTAATGTTTAATACCTAGTCCATCTTAATTCAAAATCAATGACAAGTATATATATAGGGTATATTTTTTGCTTTTGGTCAGAGTACTAGTAAATTATTTTTTTAATTATTTTACTTTTTCAGAATTTTTATTTTGATAAATCAATTTTGAAAATTTAAGTCTCATTTAGTCATTATTCAATCTTTAAAAATTAATTGCTATTTAATTAGATCAATTGAGTTTGGCTGCATGACATATTTACATAAACTCATCTATTATATGGTATTGTGTTTTGACATGCGGTGTGTTTAAAATTAATTGAATTAAAAAATTATGTAAGATAATTGTTGATTTTTAACGATTGGGTGATTAAAATATTAATTTTTATAATATTGTGACAAGGTAAACTTGATTTTTTTTAAAACTTTAAATGATCAAAGCAAAAATTTTAAATAAACAAATAAAAAGAAATTTACCTGTTGCTTGAAGGAAGCCTATGTGACGTGACAATTGACACTTTTTATGCTTGACTGATGCTTTAATTATTTGTGTTTTATTTTTTCGCTTTAATCAAAGCAAAGCCTGAGAAGAAAGTAGGAGCAAAGCAGCCATGGTCAAACTCACATGGTCCGAGTGGAGCATTAGAGTCTTTCATTTTCAGTGCTTTCTCCTTGCTCGGATCTTTCCAATCTAAAATACTTATCAAAGACCAAAGACCAACTCGACTTGGTTACCTTGTTCATCAAGGTGCTTTTGCCTATATAAGATCCGATAAAATGGAGTCAAAGACACCCACAAACAAGAATAATTCTCCAGGAACATTAACCATACAATCATATCTTTGCTTGCAGGGTCGTGTCAGCTATCGCAGATATTGATTAAGCAAGATGAAGGGCAGGAAAGAGAGTCGAGTCTCATCATTCCTGAGATCAATATTCTTCCTTTCATGGTTTCGGGTATTTGATGAAGATGAAGATGTGAAGAAGACGAAGGTTCCAGCGGCGCCAACAGGGCCAGAGGCCACCATGGTAGCTGCAGCCAAGCATTTCTCGACTGCACACAAAGTGCGATTAATTTAGTATAATTAATAAGATTGTTTTCCAGATTCTGTAAATATATATCGTACCGTACAAGCTGGGTTCATTTACTCAATTTTTTAAGTCTAAATGAAGTGATTTTCTCCTCTCTATATATAGTAAATTCCATCTGAATTTCTGATTGAGCCCTCACATATATAACCTATTGCTATGTCATCATGCTGTTTGGAAAGCAAGAAAATATCGATTGAATCATTGAAATACCAACTCTTGTTGAATCAATTCTCGTTTTATCATAACATTACATGACCGTAGGAAACGCTTGTTTATATACCCAAAAAATCAGCAAAGAAAGTCAAGTTAATTAAGAGAAGATAGTGAAATCTGTCATAAACAAACAGGATATCTGCAAAAGTTGTAGGAAACAAAAAATCAAGGACAAGAAAATTGCAATTCATTTACAATTTGATCGAGTTGATTATACCCAAAATCTATTTTGCTATGTATAACCTTGCAGTTTGGCTACTTCAACTTCTTCTTCATATGATCACTTCCTTCTCTTTTCTTCTCCTGAAAGGTCAACCTTTCATGGAACTGCAGAAAAAAAACAAGAGAAACGGCAGGCAATGAAATGATTGACTGAAAACATATATATAAACAATATTAGAATAGTGCTATTGGCCGGTTTTCTACTTGATCTCTTCTCCTTAGCCATGAAAAATACTGTACCGATGCATCCCTGCATGGCTATCTCTGTGGAGAAAAAATTATTCAATATATTCTGAAAAATAAGAAATTATCGGAGTGGTGGAAAATGAAAGATACTGGTTTTAAGTTAGTTATCGGTTCTAAAATTTTAACTAGGTTCATGTTTGATTATCTGTTAAGTTAGGGTATCCTGACCAAATAAATATGATAAGAATCTTTTCATCTATTATGGATTAGTTTTATGTTAGATGCTCATGTTACTTTTACCAGACATTTCGATCCATTTTCCATCCTTCTCCCCCCCTCTTCCTTGTTATCTTCTTGTTCATGGCGTTGCTGTTCTTCTTCTGATTCGTCAAAAGAGATGGAAGTTCCCCTACCTCCAACTCAAAACACACTTGCTTATCCTTGAGGCCTCCTGCCTTTTTATCAATATCTTTATGAAATTCTAATGGACTTTAAACTGTGAAATTGCCTGAAAATACAGTTGCAGTGAAATCAAATGAACTTCCATTTCAGGGTCCTAACACAAGGAGACAATCTTAAAGAGAAGGTAGTAAGGGTTGCAGAAAAAATAATGGCAAGATGAAAGAGGAGGAAATGGTGTAGCCATATCAAAGCATACATTGAAGAAAAGCTGGGCTACTACCAAGGATCATAAAGGCTGTAGCCATGTGATCAATGTGAGTTTGAGTCACATTCTACTCTGTCACGTGAGCCACACAAAGACCCACTCCTCTGCAAAACCATGCCAAGGAAGACAGGATGCTCTCTCTCAAAAATAATTTATCTTAATTTTGTTTTAGTATAAGGTCAATTTAATACTTCTTCTTTTAGGGTTTTTTTTTTGTTTTTTGTTTTAAAAAGGATTGTCTATATTTGCTATTGATTAGTAGATAGACAATTAAAAAAAGCAAATATTAACAAAAGAAATTTGATATTTTGTTTCGATTAAATCTAAAATCAATAAGTTAATTACGAGATCTTGAGAAAAATTATAAACATTAGTTTAGTAATATATAATGATATATTAATAAAATATACTCAAATGAAAAATGATTTTTAAAATCAATAAATCATTTAAAAAACTCATTTAGGTTAACATAATAATTAGTCTATAAAAATCATATCAATTGAGTGAAATAATATTAATATGAGATCTATTATATTTTATTTTATATTAATTATTTAATTGGCCTATCTGGACTATGGGCTTATTACGAGCTCATACTTCCAACTCAAAAAATACCATTCAATTGAAAAAAAACTTTTATTTATATGAGATTTGTGATACTAAAATAAATTTTTTGTTTTTTAATATAGATAAAACAATATTTCTATATTTTTCTCAAGCTTGATGGGCCCACGTAACATGAAGGACAAATTAAGGCCCGATTAAGTAAACCTCACGGGAAATCGGTGAAGTCACCCACATCTCATCTCTTTCTCCACTTCCTCCAGACAAAAAAAAAAAAAACAAATGCAGCCAAAGAGACAGAAACCAGTTTAACCACACTGCTGTTCTCGCCGGGTACCAACCAACCGAGGGAACTCTATATTTTCCTTCCAACTTCCTCTCCAATTCCTAACCTTTTTTCTTCCTTTATCTATCAATCTTAAAAGTTCTTTTTTTTTTTTGAATCTTTACCTGTGTTGGGTTCTTTCTATAGTATATATTTATTTTTGTTTGTGACATCTGGAGAAGGAAAAGAAATGAGAACGGGAAAGGGAAGTCAAGAGGAGGAAGAGTACGAGGAAGAAGAGTTTGGTTCCAGGAAACAAGGGCCTTCTTCTAATCAAACTATGTCTGTCAACGCCAATAACAACATCAACAACACCAATAAAGGTACAGTATTAGATTGGATCCCACTCTTTAACCCAGATCCCTCTTTTCCTTTTCTTCCTTATTGTATTTCTGGATGATTGGATATTAAAGGGTACTTTTTTTCTTCTTTTGTTGAATTTGGAATTCTGGATTTTTTTTTGGTTCCTCGGTTTGTTATATTTTTCCCCTTTCTTTTTTGGTTTTCCTTGGGTTGTGGAAGCAGATGGGAAGAACAGTGATAAGGCTAACGCTATACGATCAAAACACTCTGTCACGGAGCAGAGGAGGAGGAGTAAGATTAATGAAAGGTATCTTCTTTTCTTTTCTTCCAGTTTCAATGTCCCATTCTTATTATATCATTATTATTATTTTTTCAAATTAGGAATTTTTTAATCATACCCTTTAAGCAATTCCATACGATTGTCGAATTATGAGTTCTGGTAATTGCATAAACCGTTGATTGTAATGGCTTGTGATAGGTTGAGTCTAATAAAGTTTTGAACTTTATTAGCTTTGGCTTACATTTAATGTGTAAATATGACTATTGAAAAGGACGTGGATTGTCTAGCTAACTGACTGTATTGTGAATTGATGATGATTCTACTGAACTTTAGTCGAAGACTTCTCTTTTTGTGTAAAGCTATTCAATGGTGTTAGGAACTGGAGGTGCAGGTGAAGTGTTCAAGGGAATGGTTAAGCTTAGTTCAAAATGTTTAACTTGAAATGGCACCTGAAGTTAAGATGTTATTGGTCATGTTGTGGTGGCATATATAAAATAGGGGACTGAAGAATGTTTGCTTGTTCCTTTGGTAGCACTAGGTCTTGGAACCAAAATTTAAGTGCTATTGAGTTCCTGCAGATGTAATCTGAATTCAAGAGAGGTTGTGAGAAGATGATGCTTGCTTAACTTTGTCAATATTAATACTGATAAATTTTCTGATGCTTTCAGATTTCAAATATTGAGGGATCTAATACCGAACACTGATCAAAAGAGAGATACTGCTTCATTCCTACTAGAGGTATGTCATGAATCTGGAAATGAAAAATTTTCATATAAATTATCTGTCTAGTATTTACTTTCTAAGAAAATTCTACTTCAAATTTGTTGATTGAATCTATGTTCTTCTGCAGGTGATAGAGTATGTCCAATTTTTACAGGAGAAGGTTCAAAAATATGAAGGTTCATACCAGGGGTGGAGTTCTGAGCCCACGAAATTAATGCCATGGGTATGTTTTTGTATTGGATGCTTTCTGCCTATGGGGTTTAAATAATATGTTATTTTTGTGGCTTAAGCTATTCATTTGTAGTTTAAAAAGACATGCTCATGATGAAGTCTGTATATATCCAGAAATAAATTGATCCTTTTCAATGATGCTATTGAAATAGAAAAAACCTCTATGTTAGCCTTTGGTATATCTGATAAACTTTGCCAAACTGTCTGTACAGATGCCTCAGCCACTTGTATTTCTGACACATTTCAACGTATTGCTGTAGTTTATGGATTAGCTAGCACAAAAGCATGATTAGCGTATATCCTCTTTGTTAAGCTATTAGGTATTTTATGATTTTGAATTTTTTAAATTATTATCTCTGATGGCAAATCAGTTACATTAGGCTTGTTAATGATGTACATGATATTTGCTGGGCTTATTTCTAGTTTCTGGGATATGTGTAAAATTTTGGGATGAGCAAACAATTGCTTAAGCAATCTTATTTATGCATTGCAGCATTTTTGTTGAAGTAGGACATAATGTACTCGATTTATTTGTTTGTATATCACTGATTTTAAAATCCATATCAATTATTTCAATAATCTAATGTGTGAGAGTATCTAGCTATCTATATGGTGCTAGTCCTTATATGACTACAATGAAATAAATTGTATTATTAGTTGTTAATTGGTTGTAGTAGTAATCTGCTAGGTCTGGAAGAAAGCATCTGTGTGTGGTGCTTATTTGTGGTATTAAACTTCTGAGTAACTTACTTCTTCCTCACTTGAATAGAGAAATAGTCACTGGCGTGTGCAGAGTTTTGTTGGTCACCCACAAGCTATTAAAAATGGTTCTGGCCCAGGGTCAACATTTGCTGGGAAGTTTGATGAGAATAACATCAATATCCCCCCCACAATGATTACAACTGCACAGGATCCTGTAGAATCTGATCATATCAGAGATGCTACATCCAAAGGTATGGATCAGCAACTCGAGTTGGCAAACAAGGGAATGGCTCTGCCCATCCGAGGTGATAATGTGCTTGTGCATCCCCTTCAGCGACCAGTCTCTGAGGCTCAATCGACCGAGTGTCTTATCAACAGCGATACACTGAATCAGCAGGATGATCTGACCATTGATGGAGGAAGAATTAGCATCTCTAGTGTATACTCTCAGGGGTGTGTGTATCTTCTTTTGCTTATTCAGTAGTATGGCACATCAATTACTTGGTTAACTACTTTCGTTTATATATTCTGTTCATGATTGGATATTCCCCCTCGCAAACTTTTACATCATTGCTCTTGTTTTCTCTATATTATGAAGCACTTATGTTGTTGGATTTTTTGGTCATAAGTTTAAGATGCTTAGTTCTTGCATCAAGGTTTATGTTTCTATTGGTCTTTGCTTGTTATCTGGTTTGCAACTGACTGTATTAGAGAGTGTCATAATCCTTGAATCACAAAGAAGGGGGAGAAGTGAGGCATGAATTTATCCTATTTGTTTTCATTTATCCATTCCTCTTTGAAGGAATGAGAGGAATTGTTCCTCCCCTCTGTGGATGTAATTGTCACATTTCTTGTGTATATCTTATTTGCCATTGTGGATGCTTTAGTCGTTTGATGGGGAATGGAGACCTCGTCTAATGCTTTCTGAGTTAAAACAAAATTTTATTTAGGTTCAGGGTGCTGAATTATAAGTTGATAATCTTTTTGGATTTTAATGTCGACCAGGTTATTGAACTCTTTGACGCAAGCACTTCAGAGCACAGGTTTGGATCTGTCACAGGCCAACATCTCAGTGCAGATTGATCTTGGAAAGCGTGCAAATAGAGGGCTAACATCAGGAACATCTGCTAAGGTACGGCTGAGATAAAGAAAGATCTTGGTGTGCTCCTGTTTGTGGATCCTGTTGTAGGGTTTTATTGTTCCATTTTTGTTGGTAGACCTTTACAACTACTTTTGTGGAAATAGGCAATATTCACCAGGCCTTGTATAAAGTTGTTGAGGCTCTTATTTTGGCTACAATTATTGTACAGGACCCACAGGATTCCCCCAATCAGGCAATGACCCATCTTAGAGATGTGAGCAGTGGAGAGGAATCTGATCATGCTAAAAAGCGGCTGAAGAAATAAGACCGGCGATGGCGTTTCCTGTATCTTCATTTTTACTCGGTTTTCCATCCTGTTTTTTCGTTCTGTTTTCTGTTCAGTTTCATTTGGCTATTGTATATGCTATGGTTCTGGTCTTTTGGGGTCCTAGTGTTAACCGAATTCATGGTAAGAGCAGTGCCCCTTAGATTATGAGATTTCAAGGGGTGGTTAATTCCTTGGGTTTCTGTTAGGGGGATGCCAGTACCATTACCTGTATCATGGGTGTATCATACGTATTGATTTAAATATATATAGATAGAGAGAGAGAGAGAGAGAGCAAATCCTCTTGATGCCCTTTTTCCAGCTGAACGGACTCATTGTTCTTTTCTCTTGCACCTTTGTTTGTGGTTGAAATGTGATGGTTTAGCAGTGGGCGGATAACTTGAGCAGTTTAGCTTTAATTTAATAAAGCTATCAAGTCATCACCCTTTTTGTCAACTCTTATCTCACTAATCAAATGCCAATATGTGGATTTGTACATGCTCATGTGGCAATCTTTAATTTCCTTCTTATATCTCAAAATGGCTTACATGGTATTGCATGATTTCCGTCATAAATCTTTTTTGAAACAAGAATCGTTTCCTTTCCACCAAAAGAAAAAAAATCAATAAATAAACAAACTCAATTCAGGTTAACTTTGGGCAACGGTTTAATTTTCTAGCATGTTTTTTCGTTCAATCATAGAAAAAATTTCCATCATTTCTTGATTTGTGCGTCTCACCTTTGCACAGGTTAATTTTTTCTGTGTTATTCCAATTTTATTGATATATTTCCGAAAACATGATCAATATGTTAATCTTTTTTGTGTTGTCTCAACGATTAGGATACTCGTTAATTTTGATATACCTGAATTAGATTAATAAATGAGGTACTTGAATTTTATAATTATCAGAATATTTTTTAAATGTCTTGTCTTAACTCGAATCCTAATACGTATCCACTACTTGATAATTACCCAAACTCGTTTAAAAATTTGATTGTGTAAAAAAATAATTAAAAAACACTTAATGAGTACTCAATTATTTGAATTCGAATTCGTACCCGTATATATATATTGTAATATTTTCATCCATAATTCATATAAAATCACTAATAATTAAATTTTTAAAAAATAGAAATCATAAAATTTAAATTTAAATAATCAAGAACAATTATCTCAAATATTAACTTAAATGACTAAAAACAAATATTCAAACAACAATTTAAACATTACAAATTTAATTAACTATATGAGTTTGTCCATGAATTAAAAAAAATAACTACGCTCCAAAATTATTCTAATCTCACAATTTCTTTTTAGATATATATTTTTTAAGTTTATATACATAAAGATATATATTAGAATTAATAATTTTATAAGTTATAATGTAATGTTAACATAAAGTAGAAAATAAGTATGTTTATATTTAAAGTATATATACTCAAAATATATGCATAATAGTAATTATACTCTTTATAAATTAACACAATATGTAAAGTATATGTATTAAAATATATTACAAATTAATTAATAATCATTTTATGAATTAATAATATGAATTTGTCTTTAATTACATGAAATTAAAAAGAAAAACATAATCGGGTTCTGGTATCGGGTATCAGAATCCGACTCAAACTCAATATTAATAGTAAAATTGTGACTCGAACCCAATTCTAAGATACCCTAACTTTATATAAACGGGTCAAGTACTTGCGAGTACCCTGTAACAAGATACACATTACAATCCTTAGATATATATCCGAAAACAAGATCAATTGTTTATTACCAACTCATTGTTCTAAATTCAAGGTATATCCAAAAACAAGATCAATTGTTTATCACCAGCTCATTGTTGTAAATCAAACAACTGGTGCTATAGGATTTATTCCTGACAATGAAGTTGCAACGTTTTTCAAAGTTAATATGCAGTTTGAGACTTTTGAGTTTACAAGAAACTCTTTTAGCTTTTTCTATGCTACATATTTCACAAATTCTATCATTTTCAGGATACTTTTTTGAAATTTTATCAGGTTTTTATGAAATACATTATATGTATGTATGTATGTATGTATGTATGTATGTAGACTTATTTATGGGTATATTCACATTTAATTTAAAGTATGGCTATATTTATAGATATTTGATGTCTAAATAAAGAATGAAATCAGACACACAAAAATGAAAGCTATGGTTATATAAGTATGTAGCACTTATTGGTGGTTGATCAGGAAATTGGTGGCAGACATTCTTGTGGATTAGAATAGAAGAAATCTTCATGTCTGGGATGATCACGAATCTCCCTTCTTCTGCCTGGTTTCCCAGTACGATGTTCATGAGATTTCTTCACTAGTACAGCAAATTCATCCCAGCTCAGCCTTCCTTTCCTGTAGTCATCGATCAACTTGACTAGAATTTCTCTGTTAAGAAGAACTGTTGTCTTGAATCCCAAGTATCTGCAAAAAAAAAAGAAAAAAGAGGAGTTGAATGCCAATAATATTCATGTCAAATGATCAATTAATGTCAATGGGGTTGATCAATGACCAAACCCCAACAATGATCTTGGTGAAAAACACTACAACAAGTACCTACGATGGCCTTCGACAGCTTTGGCCATGTTTCCTCCAAAGGTAGGAATGAAAACATCACTTTCTATTGCAACAATATAATCCAATGCTGCCATCTGATCTGCATGATTGAGGAAGGGCTTAAGATCCGAGGGTTCCAACACAAGCTCTTTCCTGACCTATTTCACATTTCACATCAAGAAAGCAACTCCTGTGAATCAATTATCAGTCGATAATTAAAGCTAAATTGTTGAAATATACTACAAAATTTTCATTCAACTGACCAGATTTGGATACACCATTGCTAGGTTTTCCATTCTCTTTTCTTCATTGTATATTTTTCCGGCTGCTATGTAGATTGTGGTATTCCTATCAATTCCCAATGCTTGCAATATAAGAGCAGTTTCCTCGGGAGTCAATGGGCAAGAGCCGTGCTCTCTCCTCCTTTTAGCATCTATCGTTTTATGCTTCCACTCTTCATAGGAGTACCTGATTAATCCAAGGTTTTCATATTTTGCTTTAGAGCTTGTTTGGTATTGAGATTAGAGTGCTTTTAGTCGCAATCACCAAATTTCATTATGATAAACTTCATTATCAATTACAAAAGTATCTAAAGACCTGCGAAATTATTTCAATCACGGTTACAATATCAAGCTGTATTCTAATACCTATTCAGTTTAAAGCAAATTAAAGATGGGATTAGATTAATTCTCACCTCATTTCTTTAACCTCTTTGATCTCTTCTTTAGTTAAACCTTGAACACAACCCGTAAATGCAACCATGTCTTTTTCATATCTAATATGAAGAACCAAGACAGGTCCTTTTTGCCTTAGGAGACTAACAATTTTTCTACCTGTTTCCTCAATTGGCCGAGTGAATTTCAATGCGTCATAGTTTACTCTGCAGCGAAGCTTTTGGACCTCATCTGGTAGCCCATTGTTGGCTAGCCTAGCGTCAGTTAGAGAGAAATGCAAGACTCCACGCTTTTGTATTCGAGGAATAACCTGAAAAACAAAATATTTGCCATCAGAAGAAGAAGAAGCAGCCTGATACAAATAAGAGGGGGGCCAACCTTTTGATAGTAATATGTCAAGCTAGCAAAACTTATGGGAACCATGGAATAAATTGACTCTGATTCCTCTCTTCTCTTTAGCTCTGGAGGAAGCTCTTCCACTATACGAACTTCATCTCTCAGAGACGTAATGAAATGATTCAGGTCAAATATATCTGCAAATGTGCTGCCATATCAAGAAAAACTGCTTGTTAAGTAGCTAATTATCAACTGCTAAACAAATTAAAAGTCACATTTTTAAGATGATTAATATAATCCAAATATTTTGAAGAGAAATAGGGGATTAGGATGTTATGAAGTAATTATTATAATTGGACTAGAATATAGATTTCAGTAATTAAAATTTAAAGATTTAATTCTAGATTTCAAGTACCAATTAAGTTTAACAATGGCAAGGTAAAATTTATGAAATGAAAAAAAAATAATCTTTTGTTATGCATGAGGAAGAACTATCGTAATCTCTGATCATTTATATGTAATTATTGAATCATCACTTGATTAGGTTTAACAATCCAATACTTCTTGATCATTATTTATCTCACAAGAGTAGTATTAAACATTATTAAATATCAAAGAGAGAAAAACTTATATGTGACCAACCTTTTATCATTCCAATAAGTTTTATTATCGAATAAAGGAACAATAAGCGTAACATTAATATATCTTGCAATCACGATCATATCAACAATCTGTAAATATCAAGACAAAGAAAAGTAATTAATATGTCCCAAAATACTGCTAGTTGCAAATTGAAATTACTCACAGCAAGTCGTCTTTGATTCAACCCTCCATTGGCTATAATCACTAGATATCCATTGTTCTTATAAATCCCTGTAGCCACCATGCATGAGAAACATTTCATTGTCAATAACCCACTTTTTTTCCTTTTGTTGGGAGTTTTTATTAATTTCCCTACATATGTAGGCATTTGATTTGAAAGAAAAAGGTGCAGTCATAAAGATTTGACAGCAACACCCAACACCCAACACCCATTCATATGCAAAAGTCAAGACAAAGTACATGAATCAATAACCAAACCCCCCCAACAAATGATTAATCAAATCCTTCAAACATGCGAAATCATTCATGAAGAAATTTCTAAAATATAAATTTACTAGTAATTTTTATTTCTAAGATCAATACACTGATATATTTTGTTATTTAGGTCCAAGCTTTTAATCTAAAATAATTAAATACTTATTTTAAAATTTAATAACATTTGAAAATTTTGATTGGAATATGTAATGTTTTAGTTTATCTAATTTAACGTTTTTAATCATATTTAATTAAAAAATTGATCACGGAAAATAGATATCAAGATAAAAACTAACCTCACACAAGATGAACAACAAATAAAATCAACAAAAATTATCATTTTTTTCGTTAGATAGATTTAGTCATTTTCTAGGTAAATACATTTATTAAAAAAATATTTTTCATTCTGCATTTTTTGTGCCTTCATTAATTTTCCTCCATTAATCAAAATAAAAAGAAATTGGAATCCTTAATTGATAAAAATAAAACATTGTATCTTGAGACAGAAAAAAACTTTACAAGTGTTAAATCTTAAAATGAAAAATTAAAACCATATAAAATTGTTTGATTACTTACAGTGATGCAATGATACTGAAATTAATAAGATTAACCCTTCTCCTTGCTTAGCTACATATATACTTCTTTGTCCAAAATCAGACAAAGTTAATACTTTTAATTAGTATATTAAAAAAGAATTCCTTTGATTCCATATTTTTTTGTAAATAATTTTAATAAATCCTAATTGTTTAATTTCTTTTTAATCTCTAGGATCTGTTCAAGATTTCATGAATCAAACGTCAACAGAGAATTATACCAATTGAAAATAACATAAACAGAACATTATATGTATTATTAATATCCCATCAAACAGACATGTTTATATATATATATATCAAAAAATAAAATAAAATAAACTAAAAGATATGTTCTTAGGGAAAGCCTCAAACCCTACCTCCTAGTTATTGGAGGCTGTTTTTCTTTATTTTTAACAGGGAAATGTCTCGTGAATCTTACATAAGCATGAGAAAGGAAGAAAGAAAGATAAAAAAACAAATCTTACATATGTTATATGTTATACAATATTTACATGAACTTTATCTCTATGTCATGAATCATTTGGTCGAATTTTTTTCAACGGATTTCAGTTTATTAAAACATTTATTTTATTTTTGTAGTGAAAGAAAGAAAGAAGAAGAAAAAAGAACAATTCTTACATATGTTATATGGTGTAAACGATTCATAATTTACGAATTTTGTAAAATGAGTAGACGGTTAAATAGAAGTATTTACATATGAAAATATTTTTGAAAGTAATTCTAAGGAAATAAAATTGATATGTGTTCTTTTATAAAAAATCTCATTGTTATATCAAATTTATGATAAAATCATTAATTTTTTTCTTATTATTATATCAATCATGGAATCATATCAATTTTATGATTTGGGGAAATCAATTCCTATATAATGTTATAACGTCAAGCACCTTTTTTTTTTTTTTTATCTCATCACTAATAGAAAGATTCTTTATTATTTTTGGAGAGTTTTTTTTGAAAGTCATGTAGCTATATTGATGAAATTATAGATCTGTAAAGTTCAGATTAAGAAATATTAATCTTAGTTTATATCGGGAATTATAAAACTTTAATACTAATGCAAGAATCACCCAAAGAATTAAGGTGGATACGATCTAAACAAGTGAAAAGTAGTCATTCTTTGGCACATACTATCCAATCAACATGAAATCATACCTTTCAAAAAAGGCAAAATCAACATGAAATCATCACTCACTTTCTGATGACGATAAGGGATTATAGAATGACGATGACACTGTATCTTCCTCGTTGAGTACTGATGCCTGCTGCAATGCGCAAACCCACAGCAGGGTTACCGAGACCAAGGCCGCAGCTGCGCACAACTTGATTGCCGGAGGCTGCAACAGTGAGGCAGCCATGGTCTCCAGCTTTCTAGCCTTCATCCCTCTAATACCTTTACAGTTCATCACCTCCACTTCACTATGCTTTCCCTTCACCTCTTCCGTGATAGATTTAGAATCTTCATAATTAGAATTAATCTTGATATGTTGATTCATCTTCATACAAGCGTAAACACATATATTTTCTATCTAAGTATTATATAATATAAAATTTTATCGATATTTAAATTATAATAAAATATAAACTAATTAAGAGAGATACACTATGTATTATGAAACAAGGGGCGGGGAAACTAGTGTAGGATTGATTGGAATCTTGCTAGAAATATATATGAGTACTTGAATGGCTATTTATAAGTGCGAAATGAGTTGCTTCGTTCTAATTCCTAAACCATGTGAGTCAGGGAGCCTGCGAGGCTAGGTTTCGATTTCTTGTCACTATCGGTGCATGCAAAGTTCATGTGTGTCATATCTTTATCAGCACTTAACATGCATTAACTGTTCATTATATGTTTTGGTACACAGTTTTCCTTGTTTGGGCAACTATGCTTAAAGGTTGCTGTGGCAGTACGTAGGTTGGTTGTGGGTGCATATGAGCTTTGTCCTAAAAAAAGAAAAAAATGATACCCATCTTACTCCACCATGTTTATCTTGCCATGATTTTTTTTTTTTGCCTAAATTTTGATTATAACCCATTGATTTATTGCATTTTTTTTAACTTTCTCAAATTTTGTGAATAAAAAATATCTATATATAGCGTCATGATTCCTTGTCTTTATCAGAATATTCTAAAAGAAATTCATCATCAAATAACAAAGATTATTGCAATGATTAAAGTCAAGCAGAAAACTTATTACAATAATCACTCACTTAGAATCTTCATGTACTCATCACTATTGTGATAGATGTTAAACCATATCAAATATGTTTACAAAAATATGGCAGCGGAAATAAATAAGGATCGATACTAATCTTTAGCCATAACAATAATAAAAGGAGTAATAGAATAAAAAACTTTTTTTATGAAATCTTCTGACCCAATGCAATTCCTAACGATGGATACAGGGTTAATGAATTGATAGTGTCATAAACCATTATAGATTTCCTCCCATAAAGAAAATCTCATATCTCCCAAACTCTAAGGAAATCTTTATCTAGAATTTGAAATAGATTTTATATATACCACTTAAACTAATATTATAACATACTAAATGTGAGAAATAAATATTTGATAGATAATAACAAACCACACTAGAATTTTAGACTTAAATTAAATTAAAAATTCCAACATTCTCCTACTTAGGCCAAACATTTGTTATTTTAATATCTACATAATGTATTAGTTTAATTACCCAAATGCTTAAAACAAAAAGAATAAATTACATGAATCATGGTAATAAGTCCTCTAAGAACAAGTATTACATTCCATGTATTACAATGCAAAAATCCTTTTTGCAAAAAGCTCAATATGTGGTATATAACTTTATGGATAAACCTCACATGTTTATTCCAGGTTCTCAAAAGATAATTGTTATTTTCATAATAATTGTATACAATTCGAAAAGAGAAAACAATTAAAATTCAAAGTTTCTCAATAAAATATGCTAGCATCTTAACTCAAATGGTATGTGACAAGATAGAACTAAGTCCCATTTGCAAAACATGATTCTTAAACAACTTTGGTGGCATGCCTTTTATCAGAAGATCTGCAATCATCAGCTCAGTGTGAATGTGTTCAATGAGCACGTTATTTGCTTTTATCTACTCTCAAACAGCTAAGTATTTAATGTCAATGTGTTTACTTTGATTTCTACTCTTAACAAATAACACAGCTGATGAATTGTCATAATACAACTTCAATTGAGATAAACTCAACAACTTGAAGCCCAGATATGAAACTTTTTAACCAAATACCCTGTGATGTCGCCTTAAGGCAAGAAACAAACTCTGCTTCCATGGTAGAAGTAGCAATTAGAGACTGCTTTGCATTTCTCCAAGATATAGCTCTTCTAGCAAATATGAAGCTATACCTAGATGTTGATTTACGCAAGTCAACACAACCACAAAAATTTGAATCTGAGTATCCAACTACCTCCGGATTGTCAAATCTTTTATACGTAAGCATGGAGTCTTTAGTTCTTTGAAGGTACCTCAAAACCTTCTTTGCAGCTTTCCAATGGTGTAAACCCGAGTTACTTTGATATCTTTCAAACATTCAAATTGCAAATGCAATGTGTGGTCTAGTACAAACCCAAGCATACATTAGGCTTCCAATAGTTGAAACATATGGAATATTTTTCATCCCTTCCCTTTCAAGATCATTTTTGGGACATTGGTTCAAATTGAACCTATCACCTTGAACAATAGGTGCAACATTGGGTGAACAATCTTTCTTCTAAAATCTTTCAAGAACTTTATTGATATAGGCTTTTTGAGACAATCCCAAGAGACCTTTAGATCTGTCCCTATGAATCTTAATGCCAATGATATAAGACGCCTCATCCTTATCTTTCATATCAAAATGTTCAGAGAGAAATTGTTAGAGATGTAATAAAATGATTCAGGTCAAATATATCTGCAAATGTGCAGCCATATCAAGAAAAAATGCTTGTTAAGCAGCTAATTATCAACTTCTAGACAAATTAAAAGTCACATTTTTAAGATGATTAATATAATCCAAACCCTTGGGATTATGCAAGACAATGTACTAGGTTTCGCTTGGTGCTAGACATTTTGAAGAGAAATAGGGGATTAAGATGTCATGAAGTAATTACTATAATTGGACTAGAATGTAGATTTCAATAATTAAAATTTAAAGATTTAATTCTAGATTTCAAGTACCAAATAAGTTTAAGAATGACAAGATAAAATTTATGAAATGAAAAAAAAAAATGATCTTTTGTTATGTGTGACAAAGAATTATCATAATCTTTGATCATTTATACGTAATTATTGAATCTTCACTTGATTGGGTTTAACAATCCAATAATTCTCAAGCATTATTTATGTCACAAGAGTAGTACTAAACATGATTAGATATCAAAGAGAGAAAAACATATATTTGACCAACTTTTTATCATTCCAATAAGTTCCATTAACGAATAAAGGAACAATAAGCATGATATTAATATGTCTTGCAATCACGACCATATAAGCAATCTGTAAATATCAACACAAAGAAAAGTAATTAATATGCCCCAAAGTAGTGCTAGCTACAAATTGAAACTACTCACAGCAAGTCGTCTTTGATTCAACCCTCCATTGGCTATAACCACTAGATATCCATTGTTCTTATAAATCCCTGTAGCAACCATGTATGAGAAACATTTCATTGTCAACAACCCATTTTTTTTGTTGTTGGAGGTTTTATTAATTTCCCTACATGTGTAGGCATTTGGTTTGAAAGAAAAAGTTGCAGTCATCAAGATTTGACAGCAACACCCGGCGCCTGTTCATTTGCAAAAGTCAAGACAAATCACATGAATCAATAAGCAATCCCCCCGCCATGAAAGAACAAATGATTAATCAAATCCTTCAAACATGCGAAATTATTTATGAAGAAAGTTCTAAAATATCAATTTACTAGTAATTTTTATTTCTAAGATCAATACATTAATATATTTTGTTATTTAGGTCTAAACTTTTAATCTAAAATAATTAAATACTTATTTTAAAATCTAATAATATTTGAAAATTTTTGTTCGAAGATGTAATGTTTTAGTTTAGTTATTTTAATCTTTTTAATCATAATTAATTTAAACAATTGATCACGGAAAATAGATATCAAGATAAAAACTAACCTCACACAAGATGAACAAAAAATAAAATCAATAAAAATTATCATATTTTTAGTTAGATAGATTTAGTCATTTTCTAGGTAAATACATTTATTAAAAAAATATTGTCATACTGCATTTTTTGTGCCTTCATTAGTTTTCCTCCATTAATCAAAATAAAAGAAATTGGAATCCTTAATTGATAAAAAAAAAGCATTGTATCTTGAGATAGCAAAAAACTTTACAAGTGTTAAATCTTAAAATGAAAAATTAAAACCATATAAAATTGTTTGATTACTTACAATGATGCAATGATATTGAAATTAATAAGATTAACCCTTCTCCTTGCTTAGCTACATATATACTTCTTTGTCCAAAATCAGACAAAGTTAATACATTTAATTAGTATATCAAAAAAGAATTCCTTTGATTCCATATTTTTTTTGTCAATAATTTTAATAAATCCTAATTGTTTAATTTCTTTTTAATCTTTAGGATCTATTCAAGATTTCATGAATCAAACGTCAACAGAGAATTACACCAATTGAAAATAACATAAACAGAACATTTTATGTATTATTAATCTCCCATCAAAAAGATAGGTTGATATATATATCAAAAAATAAAATAAAATAAAAGATATGTTCTTAGGGAAAACCTCAAACCCCACCTCCTAGTTATATATAGGAGGCTGTTTTTCTTTATTTTTAACAGGGAAATGTCTCGTGAATCTTTGATGGTAACATGAACTTCATCTTCATAAGCATGAGAAAGGAAGAAAGAAAAATAAAAAAGTAAATCTTACATATGTTATATGTTATACAATATTTACATGAACTTGATCTCTATGTCATGAATCTTTGATGGAATATTTCATCAAATTTTTTTAGACGGATTTCAGTTTATTAAAAAATTTATTTTATTTTGTAGTGAAAGAAATAAAGAAAAAAATGAACAAATCTTACATATGTTATACGGTATAAACTATTTATAATATGCGAATTTTGTAAAATGAGAAGATGATTAAATAGAAGTATTTATATATTGGAATACTTTAAAAAATAATTATAAGGAAATAAAATTGATATGACTTTTTTTAAAAAAAAAATCTCATTGTTATATCAAATTTATGATAAAATCATTAATTTTTTCTCATTATTATACCAATCATGAAATCATATCAATTTTATGATTTGGGATGAGATTCCTATATAATATTATAACGCCAAGCACCTTTCCTTTTTTTTTTATCTCATTACTTATAGAAAGATTCTTATTTTATTTTTTTGGAGAAATTAAGAAATATTAAGCTTAGTTTATATTGGGAATTATAAAACTCTTAACACTAATGCAAGAATCACCCAAAGAATTAAGGTAGAT